GCCTTCCTTGGGAGTCATCACCACCTTATGACTGAAGATACTTCCACTATGGAATTGCGGGGCGGGGGGGGGAATATTTGTTTTTTAATCATTATCACAAAACTGTCTGATCAATATTTTCTCACTTCTTGGGGAAAAAAAGCAGCCAGGCACAGCAACTGCAGAGGGGATCAGCATCTCTGTCCTCCCTCCCAGCCCAGAGGCATGGACAGAAGTATCTGGAAAAGGAACCAGCATCAAAGCTGCTTCTCACTAGTCCTTTCCTGCAACATGAGGACTGGGAAGACTAGAGCCCCTAAGTGCTCAGATCTTCATGATGTGGCTCAGCACTTGTAAGGAGCCTCTGCAACTGTGCAATAACCAGAGATGTGCTGAACAGTTTTGGGAAGAGTAGAACTAGGCATCTAAGACGGGGATCTTCAAGAAGTGATACAATTAAGTGGGATGTTGCTTACCAGTACAAAATGCTGAGAAGAGGAGCAAGTGCTAAGCCCTGGTCCTTGAAAAGAGCTATATCCCTAGCTCAGAGATAGTGGTAAGGCCATTGTGTCTGCTCCACATTTTGCAGATACTGGAGTGAGTCCAGCAAAGGGCCACGAAGATGAATAAGAGATTGCAGCACCTGTTGTACAAGGAGAGGCTTAAAGAGCTGGGACTGCTCAGCCTGGAGAACCGAAGGCTTAGGGGGAATCTTATCAATATGTATAAACACCTGAAGGAAGGTTGTAAAGGGAGGGAGCCAGGCTCTTCTCAGTGCTACCCAGAAAAAGGGTAAGAGGGAACGGGAACAAATTAAGAAACGTTAAATTTCATCTGTCCACAATAAAAATTGTTTACAATGATGGTGGTCAGACTAGATAGAACAGGTTGCCCAGAGAGGCTGGTGGAGATATTAAAAACCTGACTGGACACAATCCTGGGCAACTTTCTGTAGCTGACCCTGCTTTGGGGAGGTAGTGCTTGGACTAGATGATCTTCAGAGGTCCCTTTCAACCTCAACAAATCTATGATTCTGTGATCAGCCAAAGACACACAATAATCCCAAGTCTTTCAGACAACAATGAAATCTCCTTTCTGACACTTTTATTTAGCCTAAGTAATAAAATGGGCATTAGGTGACAGAGAAAATGAAAAAAAGAGTGACTATAGGCAGAGGGTTAGGGTAAATCAGTTGAAATTCCTTGCTTCATGTAATTTTTCATAATGATATGAAGTATAACAGGTTTTGAGAAAAGCACTGAGAAAAAAAAAAATTCTTTTCTCAGAACACCAACTGCTTGGTGATAAGGCAATTTTCTGCAATATTAAAAGAGGCAATTAAGTTCAGACCTAGATCTACGTGCCAGCTGACCGCTCCTGTACTGGGAATATTAGGCACCAGTCATCACTGAGGAATTTCATGATTTTGGGAAAGAAATAAGAGTGGAGTTTAGACCAGAACCTGTGGGTTTGATACTTGTGAGGATCTGTAAGGTATTAGAACATGATTCACAAAAGAACTGAAAACAGTAAAATTTAAAAAACCTTCACATGTACATACACATACATAGTCTCACCCATGCAAACACGTGAGCAAAAACAATGAAGAATAATCACAGGGAATACCTGAACAATCAGTTTATCCTGAGTCTAATTTGGTTGTAAGTGAAACCTGTGGAAAATACTGCTTAAAAGAGCTGTGGATTCTGCCGGGGGGGGGAGAAAAAAAAGAAAAAAAGAAAAAAAAGACAAAAAAAAGGAAGAAAAAAAGAAAAAAAAGACAAAAAAAAGGAAGAAAAAAAAAGATGAAGTCATCCTTGGTTGAAAAATGAAAGGGCTGTGAAACACTCATTTGGCTGACCTCCAGATGCCTCTAAACAGTCAAATCTTGCAGGTAGCTTGGGAAGAATCAATTTGAAAAAAACTACTACTGTGAACTGAAGTTCTGCAGAACTTGCTAAAGACAGACAGGATATTGGCAATTTTGCATGGTGGCCAGAATCATAATAGACTATAATGCCCAGTATGACAACAAGGGGCAGGCAGCAGATACAATTGGGGTTTTGGGAACCTCAGACCCTACCTGCAATGAAGTGAACACTCAGACCATATACTTTAGGTACCTAAGTCTGATCCATAGTACTCGGGTAAGTAAACTATGTTCCTTAGGTAGTGCATGGAAAGTCATAGATAAATTCAGAGGACCTAAGTTAGATCCTCATATAAAATGATGTGAACGCTTTTCTGTATCATATTGGCTAGCCAAATCCCCAAAAGGATTCAGCTGCTGCAGCGCATCAGACAGACTCCTGGCCACAGAAGAGGAACCCAGAATCCCATAAATGTCACGGGAAGAGCCACACACTTCAAAGGGAGACTGAAAACAGGCAGCACATTAGAAAGGGCATACTAAGTCAATGCCCTAGGTATGCTTTTGTCTGAGGTCACTGAAACCTGTATTCCAGAGAACTGCTCTTTACCCCACTGAGGTGGTGGTGGTGGTGGACAAAGGGTTGGGAGTGGTGTGAGGTAGACCCCACACTCAAGTTGAATTTACGTCCCTGCAAAGGAAAGAATTAAGATTCATTGGACTAATGAAAGAATGCAAACATGAACATGATTCTGTAATCTGGTGGCTAGACACTCCTGTGAGATGGGGGATACCTGCTTCACAGACTACTTTTCACCTTTAAAGGTCTGGAATTTCCCTGAAGTCTTTCAGAAATAAAAACCCAGCAACATCGAGGGCTTTGGGAAGAACATTTTATTGCTAAGCATATCTTTAAACAAAATGCAAATACGAAAGAAAAAGAATCAAAAAGAAAGAAGAAAAAGAAAGGGGAAAAAAGCAATAACATCACGATAACTGAAATAAAAATTCTTAAGGTTGTCCATAAAGCAACAGGGATATGGTAGAAGCCCACATACAGAAATGCACATGTTCCCAAAAACTGTCCAATAGAAACTTACACAAAAAAGGAAAGTGTAAATCTTTTTCCCTTAACTTAAAAAAGGAAAGCAAAAAGGAAAGGAAGAAAGAAAGCAGGAAATCATTTCACAAGACTCCAAGACTCCAAGAACAGCAATCTTTTACAGACATCAAGATATAATCAACTTTATATAGTTTCGGCCAGTTAAGTCATCTAAAATCGTGCTTTCATACCTTTTTAAAACCTGTCTTTTTTTTTCTTTTTAGTATAAAAAATAAAAAAGGAAAAAAAAGCTCAACCTCGCACACACGCACACGCACCACACACACGCACACATACACGCACTGAAAATATTTGTTAACATGAAAGCATCTTCTCCAAATGTTTGAGAAGGCTGTTTTTTTAAATTTAAGTAAGTTCCCATGTGCGTGTGTGTATTTGATGACACTTCAAAGTCAAATATTCATGCGACTTATAAACACCAGCAAGAGTAGATTTCTAAACCTAAACAGCTGATTAGTTTTCATCCGTATACAGAAAAAGTGTACATGTCTGATATTCCAGAGTTCTCAATCCATCTTGTTTTTTGTTGTTTTCCTCTCTGTCTCTCTCTCCCTCATTTGCTTTTTTGCACATGATAGGCATGGCCGTCAAACCACCTGGCTATTGTTCTGTACAGTAAGATAATCCTTTTCACAATAATTGGGAAAATGTAGAAACCAAACAACCAAATTAAATAAGTTAAATAAAACCAAAAGACATTCCCAATTTAACCATAAAACAGTATATACACCATCAGGGTATCCATATAGAAATTATACTAGCAAAAAAAAATAGTAGTAAAATATGTAAACAAAATTTCAGATTTTTTTTTTTTGACACAGGTAACTGTGACAAAGCTAAAACACACACTCTCTTCACATTTTAAGGTTTGCTTTTGTTGTCTGTTTTGTTTTACTTTGTTCTTCAAGAACATTCTCATTCCACATTAAGACCATAACAGAACTTCTGTTCCAGTCGTCCCATCAAACATACCATGATAAATATATCTGTGTGTATATATATATATAATATTATTAAATTCCTTTTTCTTTATTATTTTTTGTGTGTCACAGCAGCTTTATTTATTTTCTTTTATATAAAAGAGAAGGAAAAGGGAGAATACGGCAAATGGAAAGACAGAGATGATTTGAAATGTCAAGCTACAAAATTAAAATATTACATATGCAGAACAGTTTTTATGTCAAAGAAACTATGTATTTTGCATTCTTTTACAAGTGTTTAGCTTTTCTGACATTTACGGGTCTTGTCACAAGTTGAACTCCACTGGTGTCTTTCTGATCTCTTTATTAAACTGATTTATTATTTTTTGCATGCATTGCAATCAGTCACAGAACCAGAACCCAGAGGAAGGCTCCTTTATTTTTGCATGGTATATTCAGCTCAGAATGGTTAGCCATTTTTTAAGCATTCTTTTTTGTCTTCAAATCCCTTTAACCACAGTTTGGCTGTGCTAATGCATACTAAGTGATATTCACAAATAAAGCCAATGATTGATCAGAGCAGACCCAAACCCATCTATTCTTCAGTTCAGTTGCAAATACTGGAGCCAGATCCAAGGGAACCAGCTTTCCATGATAATTTTCTTCAGCACCACCCATCAGACACTTTCACTGCGTTGTTAGCAAACAACTTACTGCAAGACAACGGATTCTAGAGACAACACAACCAGATATGCAGAGTAAACACCATGGGTAGCTTTTGAGTTCATATATGGCAACAGTCTCTCTTTATTTATTATGGATTATTTTTTCTCCGAGATTTCTTCTCATGTCCTGGTTCACCCCCACACCGCTCCTTTCCACCCTTCCCTCCCACACCCAAAAGTAACCAAAAAAAAAAAAACCCAACAAAAAACAACCCAAGAAACAAAACAAAACCAAAAAACCAACAATCTCCAAAATCATTTATTCCCCTCCTCCAATCTCGAAAAATTGTATGTATGCTGGACATGGCCAGATCAGTTTGTTCAATATTTTTTTGTTGTTTAATAATGTTTGCGTTTTTTTCTTTTTCCTTCTTTTTTTTTTAAATAAGTAAACTGAAAAATTATCGATACAGTCAGGGATCACGAACATTGTTAAAGACTCACTTGGAGATATGAAACAAGTAAGCCATGAAGTCTTCTACCTTTGCAGAAAGTTCAGCGGAGGAGGAGATTTGGAGACGTCCAAGTTCACTAACAGGGCAGAGCTGTGCGCGCCATCTCCAGAACGCTAAGTGTGCTTTATAATACATTAGGGCAGAGTTTGCTGACTCCAAGTGATGACTGAGACATTAACAGTCACTGCTGAATTTTTTTTTTTCCCAATACTTTTTCCCACAAACGATATCTCCCAATCTCACTCGCTGCAATGGTTCTGATATTTCAGTTAAATCTCATTAAGTATTTATATATTTATATATAAATAAGTATTCTTTTTTACACATAATACTCTTTGTCCTTGTTTTTCTGTTTCTTGTGGCCGCTCTTTGAGCTCTGCTGCTTCTCCTTCACGAGCGTGCCATTGCTCTGGGCTGAGTTGCTGATGTAGTTCCGCGTCTCGTCCACCTGATAGGACCCCTCGTCCCTGTTCCTGTACTTGTACATGGCATACAGGAGGATGAGGATGCAGAGGGCGGCAGCAGCCACAATGCCGACGACCATCCCCGTTGTGCTGCTCGACTCGCGGACCACCTCTGAGGCCCCCGGAACCCGTCTGATTCCCGGCTCCGTGGGGTTTGCTGTGGGCACATTACGGAACATGGGGGAAGTGATTAGCGGGCTCTTCAGCTTTGTGCTGTCTAGCTCATAGGCAGTGGGCAACGGAAGCAAGACTATGTCAGGCTGGGGTTTGAGCTCACGGTTATTCATTTTGCCGGCTGGCAATTTGGGCACCATCCCAGTCGAGGACGAAGCTGTGGAGCGGATCAGCTCAGGGGACAAAGACGTGGTAGTAGTCCTACCAGTTTCGGAGACTTTGTTAGGTCTAAAGTCCTTGGATTCCCACTTGGGTGCGTGTGCTTTGTAGCCACCTTCGAAGATTGAAGTGGAAAGACTCTTATCTGTTACCAAGGAGAAGGTGGTGTAAAAATCTTCATCATCAGTAGGGGGTAGGTTAGAGTCAAAGGTTTCCCCTGAGCCATACCCAGATATCACCAAGCCATCATCATCACAACCATCGCTGCCTTGGTCCGACAAGCAAGGTAACCCCGCCTCAGAGGTCATGGACAGGGAATCTTTGGTGGTCTCAATAATGGTGAGGAGGGGGCGAAAGGTAGGGGGAAGTGTAATGAAAGGTGCACGAGTAGCAATAGGAGGGATATCTAAAGGGTCTTCTACAAGTAGTGGGATAACTAATTCACCTCCTGGGATGGAAAAGAGAAAAAAAAGAAGATTAGTACATTTTAATGACGCAATGTACCATTTTCAATTCACTTAACTCAAGGGCAAGAGAGGATTTGGGCATTATGAAAAAGTGTCAGGGATCAGGTTTCTTGCCCTAACTACGCTACCAACATACTTTCCTGGGGTTGCCTTTCATTCTTCCCTCCCACTCTGCTTTGATGTTCATAAACTGCATGTTCCATTTCCTCCCTTTTAGCCTATGCTAGGTACGTACAGTGAAATACTCTGAATTTTTGGGGACCCAAAGTTTTTGATTTTTGAAGATACTCTCAAGTGACTCTGTGGACATCAATTTTTTTTTGGTAGTGATCTTTCTTAAGCATTTGGTTACAAGACTGTTTAAATTAATTATTTTAGACTTCCATAGAGCAATGTTCTCCTGGATGGATTTTACCACCCGTCTTGCCAGTTTTTCCTCCTCTGATTCTTTTAATTTAAAATAGCATTGGTATTTCTTCACTGACATTCAAGTCTGCTCACCTTCTGTAGCAGTTTATAAGGCCTTTCCCTAAGGCCTTTCCCATCCGTCCATTTCTTCTTGATTGTTGCCTGGTTTTTAAGCTGTGGGAAAGTTCACCGAAGTGAGGGATGGAGTACGAACCAAGTACTTACTGGGGTCCATGAAGGTACAGAGCTCTACTCAACACTTGTTCATCTCTTTTTAATCTTTCTTTACTATTCTGTTTGAGACTAGGGATGTCCCTTTGCTTGCATCTTTTGGGACTACTAATGCCATACTATCTTCATCTTCGGTTCTTCTTGATATTCCTTTACTAGAATTTGATTAAAAATTAAGATAGACTTTATTGTGATTGATGATATAACTGAATAAAGACTCTGATGACCAAAATTAGCACTTGAGCACAGGAATGTACTGCAGAAGTTGTCTTTGCACCTACTGTTAACTTCTTGATATGCAGACAGCTGTGATCAGTGTTACTTTTTCCTAACATGATGGCTACCTGCCTACAGAGGACTGAAAATGAAGCAGACCTATGGTCTACTCTTGAAGTAGCACAATGAAGCTGTAGCTATAACATTTGTACCTTACCACAGTATAAGCTAAAACTGAAACAAGAAAATCAGCGCATCATTTCTAAGATTTGGTTTCTGAGCAGCAATATTGCTACTTTTAGGGTAGTAGTCCTCTTTTGCCTATTGTCCTGGTTTTGGCTGGGATAGAGTTAATTTTCTTTCTAGTAGCTGGTATTGTGTTATGTCTTGGATTCAGTATGAGAAGAATGTTGATAATATACTGATGTTTTCAGTTGTTGCTAAGTAGTGTTTATACCATTCAGCTCCTCATGCCCAGCCAGCAAGAAGGCTGGAGGAGCACAAGAAGTTGGAAGGGGACACAGCCAGGACAGCTGACCCAGACTGGCCAAAGGGGTATTCCATACCATGTGATGTCATGCCCAGTATATAAACTGGGGGGAGTTGGCCTGGGGGGATCGCTGCTTAGGAACTAACTGGGCATCAGTTGGCGAGTGGTGAGCAATTGCATTGTGCATCACTTGTCTTGCATATTCTGATCCTTCTGTTGTTACTGTCATTTTATTATTGTTATTATTATCATTATTAGTTTCTTTCTTTCTGTTCTATTAAACTTTTCTTATCTCAACCCACGAGTTTTACCTTTTTCCTTTCAATCCTCTCCCCCATCCCACTGGGTGGCGGAGGAGTGAGTAAGCGGCTGTGTGGTGCCTAGTTGCTAGCAGGGTTGCAATATGTCATATTGTAATATGACTGCACTTCTACTTTTGAGCCTATGGGTAATAAACACTCCACTGTTTTATTCTGATGTGGAGGTATAATTAATTTATCTAACTCATTTAGTTCAGATTACGTAGTCTTCCACTGATATACAGGTCGCCGACACTTTTTTAGGGTGACCCATATTGCTTTTGAAAGTTTGTGTATAAATTCTCCCTTGGGTAATTTTTCTTTGGCTAGCCACTTAAGTTACCTGCTTTAAATATAAACTGAAGAGTTCATCTGACACTATGAGTAGTCATCTAGATTTGTTGGAAGGAGTGCAACTCAGTAAGAAGTATTTCTAATGCATGAGAAATTTTGATTTATACTCACCATTGCTTAAGGAAAGATATGCAAAAGGAATTTTACCTTCTAAATAAATAATTTTGGCTTTTAATTATGTATTAATAACTGCTAATGAACAGTTTGGCATTGTTACAATGCTGAACAGCATCAGGGTCAAAATCCTGCTCTGTCCTATCTACACTATATATTACATGCACTTGTTTCCCATAAAATACTGCCAGTAATGTCCATGGGAGTTCTATAAAGAATATGGTCTCAAATCATAATCCCTTCTAAATATATTTGGAGACCAATATATTTGAACAAATTACGTATTGAAGATAGCAATATACTGAAAAAGGTACTTAACAGTTTGATTAAATCTGGATAGCTGAGCTAGCAATATGGCTTATTCTTATCCTTAATGAGACACTAAGTGGTGACACACTTTAATCAATTGAAACAGTCAGATTTATCTCAGAGGTACCAGGGTAGAAATTAGGGCAAAATAAGAAATATGGTACTTTGCATACTTTCATGCAAAGTTATTTTAAGCTAAGATACAAAGGGCCAATTTGAATATGTTGTTTAGTTTTCTGACCTTCCTTAGCATGTTCATACCATTTTTGTTACTGGATGGAGGATAAAGAAATAAGTATCATATTTGTAAAATAATGTCAATCTCTTCAAACTATGTATCTTCAAAAAAATTATGTAAAAAGCAGAAAAGTGTAGTCTGCCAAATGGCTATGTGGCATTTTGTGCTCATGCATCTGAGCTGTTTTCTGTGCGATGTAGAAACTAGAGCATGTAATATGATTTATATATGTCCAGAAGCCCTATCCATGGTTAGAGTAGGGCTTCTATAATCTATGCAAACAGGTGGTCTCAGGATAAACTTGGAGTATGCCTCAGAGCAAAAGATAATCTGTGAGTCTGGTAAAAAATGAATAAAAATAATAGCATTTAAGTGCACATTATATCAAATTGCACGAGTGGGGAACTTAAGTTCCAGAAAGTCAGGGATAGGTAGTGTCCTTTTAAATGATTTTTTAAGATCAGTGTTTTGCTGTTAAAAAGTAGTATTCATCTGTGATTTTCATTCACTATCTGTGACACCCAACTGGAAAAAAAACCAGTTTGGCAGCTTTTAATTGCTCATCTAGAGCTTTGAAGTGCCTTTGTTCTTCAAATCTATTATACTGGCACACAGCATCAGTATGCAGCTGATCTGCCACTCACTGGGGCAATATTTCGGGTAGTTTTCTTCCAAAGAGAAATTCTTCTGGTCCTATTAATGATTAATTTTCTTGAAGGAATCAGAAATATCTTACATTTAATATGAAGATCTTTCTTTTGCCCCAGTAACCCTTGCCTTTAAAACTTGGTCATAGTTCTACAGTTTTTGTTGCTGTCGAGGACTTGAGCCAATGATCAAGACTACTGCAACTCTAAAAATTATCATGGTCTTCTTGAAATGTTAAGAAAAGTTGATAGAGTTGCTATGGTAAGTGGGGTTTCACATAAGTGATGGAGAGCAGATCGGAGCTTTTTGATTCCAGCAAGTCTGTTGGATGGAAGACCATAGGACAGATTCAGGAATGAGTTTTACAAAGTTTTAATCTCACAATGTTTGAGAGAAGAGAAACAACTTTCATACCAGGAAGACTGGATTAACTTTGATTGCCCATACCATTACTTAATCTCATCTCTAGTTTTATACCAAATTGTCCAATGATCCATACTATGTTTACCTGTATACTAAAAAAATAAAGAGACTGTTAAAGGTCCTTCATTGGGAACCACTTCTCCATCAAGGCGTTCATTTGTTACATATACTTAGACAATATACTTTTGGGGAGTATCAGGGAGATGGCTGTAATGGTGGTAATGATGCTTTGAATTTTTAATTTTTCTTTCTTTCTGTAATGGAAGAAACTGTGAGAGTGAAAAAAAGCTGTGTGGGAGAAGGTAACTCAGAAAAAAGCACCCTAGGTATCAAATCTGGCTTCTGTTTTATTGGTATGTTAGGCATCTATACAAAACTCAGAGCAAGCTAGAAGTTGTAGGTCTAATAGGATGCAAGCACAATGAATACTTCTTGGGGTATGTGATTTATAGAGGAGTTAGTTAAAACATCCTTTAAAATGGCGTGATAAAAATGCCACTCAGTCTAGAAGAAATGTGTTATTTAAGGATAACAGAGAACGTAAATTCTGAAAAGCTCCCAGGACAGTGTGAGAAACGTGATCACCAACACCGATGCAGGGGAGCAAGTGCAAACTTTCATATCATACCTGCAATCAACTCTGCTACTGGTACTACATTTCTACTCGTACGAGACACAAGGGGGAGTCTGATGACAGGCAGCTGGTAAGTGTGCGTGTAGAGGGAACCATCTTTCACAAAATGACAGCTGAGGCAGCAGGAAGCTGCCAAGAGCCAGTGGTCCTTTGGTGGAGACGTGGTGCCTCTTGCCCAGGGCCCCAAGTCGGTTTAAAGGTAAGCACGGAAAGATTTAAAAGTGCCACTCGGTTGCTAAGAATATCTTACATGGGATTTGGATCCTGAAAGGTTTGCTGCAGAAGGCAAGCGCTTTAAAGATTTGGATCTCTAGAAAATGCTAAAGAGGAGCCCCCGAGAAACCCTACACAACAATTTGGAAGCGAAAGACACTTGAGACAGGTTTTATGTTTGTATTTTCCTACCTGAAGTTTCTATTTTCTCACAGTGTCTACCATTTTTTCAATCACAAAAATCAATGCTTTGCAGTCTTGAATAAAACTTACAGCCTTAATTTCCAAATTGTTCTGTGCTTAAAAAAAAAAAGGCAAGGCTGCCACCCAGTTTGAGCCATGGCTTCAAAGCAAATATTCACGTGAGACTTAGATTCTGTTTGTGGATGATATGGTCTGTTTCC